GGAGAGGGAGAAGCAGGCTCCCCGCTGAGCAGGAAGCCCGATGTGGGGCTCAATCCCAGGACTCTGGGATCATGACCTGAGCCGAAGGCAGACGCTTAATAGACTGAGCCACCCAGGTGCCCTCACATGGCTCTTTCTTTCGCTTCCTATATGCTGTGACCACAGTCCACTGGGGGTCAGATCGCCCCTGGAGTTCCATAACAAGGGAAGACTTACATTCTCTCTCTACTCCAGTGGAGCCCCCTCCCCAAAAAGAAGCATGGTGTATGAGCCATGATGAGGTGTAATTTGGTACCGGAGCTGCATGGAAGAATCTTTCTTATTTTAATAATAATTTTTAGTTTATCATATATGACATATACATGAATACACACACACGTATATATCATAGACACTTCAGTGGGATGTTAATTTTTAAATGAGTACATTTACAGCAGATTGAAAGAAAAATAAATAATGGTCATATATTGATAAAAAGCAGGAGAGTGGACAGAAAGCACGGATCCTTGGAATGACCTTGTTCATAATCCAACCCCTTCGTTGCGCAGATAAGATACTTGGGACAAAGAGGCTCAGTGAACTGGACTCAGACCAGGAGAAAACCCGGGGCTGTGACTCTTGTCTTTCTATTCATGTTGTGCATCCAACTTGGAATATCTTCTGGGAAGATACAGCCCTGGGCTTACGGGAAATGGGGAGTCCAGGTGGGCACTGGTCCCTGACTTGTGCCCTAGAGAGGGTGTGGACACAATGGTTCAAGGCAAATGGCAGAGTTGCTAGAAAGGATGTGTATGGGCACCTAGTGACCAAGAAAGATGACCTCTAGGTCCAACACCCCTTGCCTTCCTCCCTACGTTCCCTCACACAACCGTGCACGTCAGCACCACATGACTGAATTTACTGTGCAACTTTAATCTCAGCTTCAGGATTGTCCTTTTCCCATCTGTGCAGAAAAGGAAGATAGTACTTCCCAGATGCTCTCACAGAAATGCTCAGTTTTAAAAGACCACATGGAATTTCTCGAAACCAACTGGTCAGTACAAAATGCCACCAGCCGCACATGTAAAGCACGCTCCGGTGCTGATGAGGGGGGGACACGGGAGGTCTCCGAACCAGTGAAACCAAAGACAGCAGCTGTCCCCTCTGCTGCCCTGTGGGTTTTGTGGCAGGGACTGTCCTGAGTGCCTCAGACATTTTAACCCGCTTACTTCTCACACCAACAACAAGCCCGTGAGGTAGATATTATTATTATCTCAGTTTTACAGATGAGAAAACTGAGGCACAGAGAGGTTAAGTAACTTGCTCAAAGCCACACAGCAAGTAAGTAGGCAAGCTGGGATCGGAGCCCAAGCCATCTGGTGTCCAAGTCTGTGTGGATAGTAGCATCGGATGAGGCTGGGTCAGGAGGCAAGGCCTTCTTCAGGATCTCCCTGTTCTGTAGCCCGCTGGTCTGACTGCCCAGGAATCTGGGAGCTTTCCTAGAAATGTCCATTTCCAGGCTGCATACAAACCAATTCGATCAGAACCTCTGGGGCGGCGCCTGAGCCCATCCTGTGGGCCAAAGGTCCTAGAGGCTAACGGGCAGCCAGGAGAGAGAACTTCCACCCTATTCTTCTCCTTCTCGTTTTACAGGCAAGAAAACTGAGCCGCAGAGGTCAGCGACTTGCCCAGAGTCTCACAGCCAGACCCAGGGCTGCGACCCAGGACTGTCACTGCCCCCACTTGGTCTGCCCTCAAAATTGCCACTCCTCACAAAACTAAGGTTATAACCAGGAATCACTGCACTCTGCCAGGTGCCCCTCTGTCCTAAAAATGTTGCTTTGCTCGAACGCTTCACTTGAGTGAGAAAACCGAGAAAGCAATGCAGCTGGGTGCACAGAGGATGGACGGTGCTCATCCCCAGGCGGGCAGGAGAGGGGCTCCCACCTCCCAGTTGTACCAGTGTCTGCAGTGCTTGAAGTCTGTGCTGCTTCTGGAATCGAGAAAATTGATCTTCTCAAAATCATTAGCAGTACCCCTTTCAGCATGCTTTTCTTTCAAGAATCAATGATTGTTAGGCTTGAACTAATTAGTCTTCCTAAACTGCCACTATCCCTCCTGCAACAACTCACAGGGACTGTTCCAGAAATGAACACAATGGACACAGACTCCTTGCACTTTCAGGAGGAAATGGGTGGCAGGACGGATGCTTATGGATTCCTGGAGAAGCCTGCACAGCCAAAGGTCCAAAAGGTCCTTTTGTTTGGGGCTCTCCGTACCCCTGGCTGTGCTCCTAGAAGCCTCCCAGACACCAGCAGCCGGGTCTGTAATGAGGTCTTCAGCTACTAAAACTTGCATAAAATACACAACATGCAGCCAGCCACCAGCTGCTCTGGATCTTGATGAATAATTTAGAAACAAATTACCCTTTTCCAAATGGGTCCAATAAAGTAAGAGTCATTGCAAGGCACCCACTGTGCTTCCCTTTGAGGCTGCAGGGACTCTAGCTGCCATAATTAAGGCCGCTAACTTCCCTAGTCCTAGCCTACGAAGGAAGCACTCCACTGAATTAAACCTGACCAAGGGAAATTAAGTGCCCCTTGCCCTTGCCTACAAAAGAAGAACTTTGCAGGCAAGTGAATCTCTAAAATCCATCTCCACGGGGCATAATCAATCAGACCAGACCTCTTTGTTGCACTGTTACCTTGTTAAGATGTGTGGTTTAAACAGTCGATTTCATTCCATTTGGTGCTAATGGAACTTTTTTTTTAAATCTTCCCTTTCAAAGCTTGGACCATACTTTATCATATTTAAATAGCTTCAAAGGCAGCTGGATTGGCTCCTTGGAGAAATGGCTGATGCCAGGATAGAACAGGGGAAATGAAAGGGAGTTCAGAACATCGTATTGGGCCAAGTGCTCAAAAACTAATAGGGCCATGTCAAAAGGACACCAGAGCCAGCTGGAAAGGATTCCCACTAGACAAATCTGGAGCAATCTGAGCATCAAAATGATTAATGACAGGAGCAGTTTATAGTGTATTGAATAAAAATAAGTCCATACTAAAACTGTTTTTAAAAAAAGTAAAACAAAAGGAGAGAGAAGTCTCTTCTTTACAGAAGACTACCAACCAACAAATATAAAAATATGATGGAGCCAGAAAATGATTCTTTTACAATCACCATAGAAACAACAGATTCAGGCAATGACTTACTGATGAATGCAAAAACTATTAAGGGGAAGACTGCTGGGATATTCATATAGTGTTCATTGATTACATATTCATTATAATGGAGAAAGGGACCTTTACAATGGAGGAATCATTAACCAAATGATTAAACTTACTACTAATGATAGAGAAAATTGGCATCATGAGCCCACATGACATTACCCACAACTTGCCTAAAATATTTAGCCTCAAATCAAAGTATGCTGGAAAACCTCAGACAAATCCAAATTGAAGGGCATCTTGCAAAAATGGCCTGGACCCTTCAAAAGTATTTATATCAGGAAAGACAGAAAAGGTGAGGGAAGCATTCAAGACTAAAGGAAGGAGACTACTACACACCTGATAGCCAAAGGCAATGCATGGTCTTTGACCGGACATTGGTTTGGAGAAGAAATCACTATAAAGGATACTTGGTGAAACTTTAATATAGACTGTGTATTATATAAGTCTTGTGTCAATGTTACATTTCCTGATTGCCAACTACATCAAGTGTGGTTAAATAGAATGCCTTCGTTCTTACGATATACATGCTGACATATTTAGGGGTAAATTGTCATAAACTCTGAAATGGCTCAGAAAAAAAAAAAAAGGCTGAGAAAAAGGCAAACATGACAAAATATTAACATTTGTTGTATCTAGGTGAAGGTACATGGGTATTCATTGTACTAGTCTTGCAACTTTTCTAAAGGTTTTAGTTATTAAAAATAATAAACTGGAGGGGGCCCTGGGTGGCTCAGTCTGTTAAGTGTCTGCCTTCAGCTCAGGTCATGATCCCAGGGTCCTGGGATTGAGCCCACGTTGGACTCCCTGCTCAGTGGGGAGTCTGCTTCTCCCTCTTCCTGCCCCTCCCCCTGCTTGTGTTCTCTCTCTATCTCTCTCAAATAAATAAAATATTTAAAAAACATTTAAAAATAAGCTAAAATAAATTAATCTTGACTTAAAATCAAAGAAACACAGATTTCTGTACCTTTCACCCTCAAAAGCATTGATATTCACCAGATCCACATCAAAGATCTGGCAGTCCTGGATCCCTTTTCCTCTTAGCAACAACCAGCTGGTACTGGTTTGGCTGCTCCATGTGGATGGAGCATGATGTCTTGTTCCCAATGGGCCACTCCATTCCATCTTCTACCATGTATTCACTCATGCTTTCATTTCTGTTGTCTGCCTGGTCTTTGGGGGCATCTAAGTCAGAGACAGGAGGCAAAGTCCTAACAACAGGGGAGCAAGCTTTTGCTCACTGCACTGAAGATCAACCCCTGCAGTGCAAAGCACAGAATCGTTGGTACTGACCACAGGGTAGACTCTGAATGGCTTTTTACGGTTCATGGAGACATTATCATGGGTTGACTTGTGTCCCCCTAAAATTCATATGTTTAAGTACTAACCTCCAGTACTCCCAGAATATGACCTTACTTGGAAATAGAGTATTGCAGACATAATTTAACTAAGATGAATTTATACTGGATGGGATGGGTCCTCTAATCCAATATGACTGGAGTCCTTATTTAAAAAAAGGGAAATTTGGACACAGAGAAGCACACAGAGAGAGCACCATGTGAAAATGAAAACCGAGGTTGGGCTGATGTTTCCACAAGCCAAGAAACACCAAAGACTGCCAGCAAATACCAGAAGCTAAGAGAGAGGCCTAGAGATCGTTCCCTTACAGTCTTCTGAAGGAACCAACCCTGCCATCACCTTAATCTCAGACATCTAGCTGGATGAGGATCCACTCATAGACCTGTTGTGCAGGTTAATTTGGTTAACATTGGAGAAGCACTTAAAACAGAGCCTTTACTTGGCAAATGCCGTGAAACACTGTTTCTTCTTCTTCTTCCTCTTCCCCTTTGTCCTCTTCTCTCTCTTCTTCCTCTTCTCCTCCTCTTTCTCCTCCTCCTCCTCCTCCTTCTTCCTCTTCTTCTTCTTTTTCTTCTTGTTCTTCAACAGTCTTGCTCTGGCTATAGCTTTGTTCTGAACTTTGAATAAAGGTGTTTTTGTAGTGGGAAAATCTTTGCACCAAGAAGGAACCCCTTCCCTGGCTTCTGGGCCCTGTTCCACCTCAACCTGATGCATGACCTGGAATAGAGCACAGCACCTCTCTGGGCCTCCCTTTCTGCCCTCTTTTGCAAAATGAAGGAGCTAAAGTCAATCTCCAGCTCTGGGCCCCATGTTTTCTCATTGGCCTGGGCTGACTTGGAGCTCAAGCAGGCTCTGCAGCCCTGTAGGCTATGTAGTTGGAGGTTTTGGTATGCTGAGAACCCTACAGTAGGTTCTCTTGGGGAGCTAAACTTTAAATACTTTTTATTTCAAATCAATTAATTAACATACAGTATATTATTAGATTCAGAGGTAGAGTCCAATGATTCATCAGTTGCATACAACACCCAGTGCTCATCACATCACATGCCCTCCTTAATGCCCATCACCCGGTTACCTCATCCCCCCACCCACCTCTCCTCCAGCAACCCTCAGTCTGTTTCCCATAGTTAAGAGTCTCTTATGATTTGTCTCCCTCTCTGATTTCACCTTATTTATGTCACTTAGTTGAGTTTTAAAAAATATAAGACTTGGCTGTGAATTTTGCAAGACTGTTGAATCACAGATCTGTACCTCTGAAACAAATAATGCAATATATGTTAAGAAAAAAAAAAAAAAGAAGGGCGCCTGGGTGGCTCAGTTGGTTGGGCAACTGCCTTCGGCTCAGGTCATGATCCTGGAGTTCCTGAATCGAGTCCCGCTTCTGGCTCCCTGCTCGGCAGGGAGCCTGCTTCTCCCTCTGACCCTCCCCCCTCTCATGTGCTCTCTCTCATTCTCTCTCTCTCAAATAAATAAATAAAATCTTTAAAAAAAAATTTAAAAAAAAAGAAGAAGAAGATAGCAGGAGGGGACAAATGAAGAGGGGGAAATCGGAGGAGGAGACGAACCATGAGAGACTATGGACTTTGAAAAACAAACTGAGGGTTCTAGAGGGGAGGGGGATGGGAGGATGATTAGCCTGGTGATGGGTATTAAAGAGGGCATGTTGTGCATGGAGCACTGGGTGTTATACGCAAACAATGAATCATGGAACACTTCATCTAGAACTAATGATGTAATGTATGGGGATTAACATAATAATAAAAAATTTTTTAAAAAAAGAAAAAAATATAAGACTTGGTACTTTCAAATACACTGTGGATTTGCCAGGTTAAAAAAAAAAAATGAAACCTCTTTAAAAAAATTTAAAAAAAAAAAGCGGGGGGTGGCTGGGTGGCTCAATCATTAAACGTCTGCCTTCGGCTCGGGTCGTGATCCCAGGGTCCTGGGACCGAGCCCCGCATCGGGGTCCCTGCTCAGCGGGAAGCCTGCTTCTCCCTCTCCCACTCCCCCTGCTTGTGTTCCCTCTCTCGCTGTCTCTCTATCTGTCAGATAAATAAATAAAATCTTTAAAAAAAAATTTTTTTAAATGAAACTATAATTCTACTAAGATTGGAAGGAATCCAAGAGCTCCTGTAGACCCTCCTCAAATATTACAAGAACTTGTCTCATACTGGCCCAGGGGATGGGATTAAACTGAAACAACAGATAAAAGCTACAGAGAAACATTACCTTCAAATATTTATCACTGACTTGATGCTGTTTTGTGATAAATAATTGTCAAGGTTCTTAATGGTTTCCATAAGTAAGTAGAAAAGAACGACACATTGAAGATGAAATTTAAAAGCAAGTGGAATCACAGAGTCATGAAGCTGATGCTGGTTGTTTCCATTACCATCCCTACCCAAAGTCAAGGTCACTATACAATTTTCGTAGGCATTGTTGATTAAGAACACCATATATAAAATATAAGCACGCAACAATAATTTTTTTATAGAGAGCAAAATGTCTTCACTTACCCCAAGAAGGCTGAACCACAGTAAGATTCACAGTTACAGACTTGTGGGCATTCAGGCCCTTCATGTTAGCCAGGCAAGTCAGAGTCCCATTGCCCTGTGGTGTGAGAGTCAAGATGCTCACTGCGCTTTGGAGGTCGTCAGGCTCCAGACCAGAATAACAGCTTGAGTGGCTCACCGGAACACCGATCTCCCAGGAAATACCCGGGAGAGGGATCCAGCCCAATGCATGGCAAGTCACATTATAGGGCTTATCCTCAGGGACTATAAGGTTGCCTCTGGGAATGAGCAACTCCCCCATAACTAGAGAAGAAAAGAGAAATGTTCTGAAGGAGTGGCCATGACTCTCTTGGTTCCAGGTTTTCTTTAATTTTTCCTTCAAATCACATTTCAAGAGTGCTATCTTCCCAAGTCCAAACTGGCTATGTCTCTATCAAGAACCTTAACTCAGGTTTTATCTGTGTCTTTATTTATACCCTCCAGGGTCGTGAAAGAAGGTGAGGTTGCTCACCAGAAAACAAATTATTCCAGAGAAAATGAATAAATAAAAATCAGGATCCAGGGGAGCATAAATTATGTGGGAAAGAGGGCAAATGTGCCTTCCATTAAAGGCTACACAACCACTAAAGTGGGGTCACAAAGTTGTCCTGGGAGCCAAAGCGAGAAGGGAAAAACCTTTACATTCTTTCCACTGTAAGGAGAATACATCTCAAAGTCTTATGGAAACCAGGTCTCTCCTAGCCTTTGGTCAGTCAGATTCATTGTATTTATTTTGGGGGTCACACATTTTTAAACATAACTTCCCATGATAGTTCTTTATTCTTCCAATTACAAATTAAATCAAAATCAAATCTAATTATAAAAATAATTACCCTAAATCACGTACCAGAATAGAATACTCAAAGTATTTTAAAATTTTTATTAAGGACCCACCTGCATATGCCAATGTGAACACTGTAAACAACCCACCTGAAAATAGTGCTTTGTGTGCTAATATTAACAAAATAACCTGAGGATTGGCTCTGGTAAAGACACAGCCTTAGTGAAACACATAAACACTGGAACATCCAAATTAAAATAGCCTCCCTGCTGCATAACATAATGGGAAGAACACTGGACTAAGAATCAAAAACTCTGTTCTCAATCCTGGATTTCCCACAAAATTGCCATCACCTGGAACAAGTCACTGACATTTTCAGGCTCTCTGTTTTTCACTGGTCAAATGAAACAAGTTGACTAGATCAGGGGTTTTCAAATGTTTAGGTTTCAGTACCTTTTACAATGTTAAAAATCATGAAGACTCCAAAGACCTTTTGTTTATGTGGATCCTACCTACCCATATTTACCATACTTGAAATTAGAAATTTTTAAGTGTTTATTTTATAATAATAGTGATAACCGACTATAGGCTAACATAGATTAACATATTTTTATGAAAAAACACCTATATTTTTAAACCAAAATAAATTATTAAGAACATTGTTTTATATTTATGCAAATCTTTTTTTTTATGTTATGTTAGTCACCATATAATACATCATTCGTTTTTGATGTGGTGATCCACGATTCATTGTTTTCATATAACACCCAGTGCTATGCAAATCTCTTTAATGTCTGGTTGGATTCTCATATCAGCTTCTGCATTCAATCTGTTAAAATATATTGCTTTAGTTGGAGTATATTAAAAAAAATCTGGCCCCCCATGGATATATAGGTGGAACAATGAGAAGGCTTTTCAGATAATCAAGGATAGTCTTTGATACCGTACCAAATCTTGGCAAGTAGTGGTTTCTTACAGGTTAGTTGCACTGTGGAAACTGTAACTATATAAAGGAATTTTCATTCCCTTTTACATTAAAATCCACTGCTCTATCTGGCACTTTGATCGATCTTTCACTCTTGCATGACACTGTATCATTATTCACCGGTCATTTAGGAAATGTGGATCCTCTGGGCTATGCAGACCTTCCCAATGCACAGTGGAAGCCTTTCTGTGCACTGCTGAAATGAGAGTAGGAAAGGCAACTCACATCTTAGTGTTATTATGGGAACAGTCATGACTTCACAGACCCTGAAAGGATCTAGGGGATGCCCAAGAATTCCCAAACTAGATGGAACTGGATCAGCTCTGAAAGCTCTTCCTATTCTGAAATGGTACATTTCCAATTATTCCTTTCCTCAATGGTCTCTGGGAATCAGTAGAGCACCTTTGCTAATGCAAGGATTACTGTAAATGCAACAATGAGAGGAGAATGCATCTGTCTCTCAAAGCTAAACGGTTTTGTCCTTATTCCTTTTTCTCCATTCATTGTTTCATTTCATGGAGAGGTTTAAGATGACGGAAGCTGGAAGCAATGGTATTGCCTCAATTAATAACGGACTATCTTGAACTCAAATCTAGTGGCCCTCAAAACACAAGAGGTCTAGAATTTGGTGTGTGGTTGATAGACTGGACAAGTGAAGCAGTCTGAAGCATTTCCTTTTTCCATATATATTTGTGACTCAACTTTTCCCATTGGCTTACACAAAGCTTATCGAGTAGCACGACAAACACTTTATACAAGGGTGATGACTAGAATATTCACATAGATTTTGGATGACTCAGTATGGAGTTATGTAAGCTGTCTTTATTTTTCTTGCTGATACACGAGGAGGAAAAAAATAAATCTTTGGATAATTCATTTTAAAAATAAAATGGATGTCTCCTCTGTTTTTTAAGATTCTTTTCCCTTGAAAGAGATCCTGCTGCTTAGAGAACATTTGTTCCTCTAGGAACAAAGTGCCATTCAGAACACTGCAACCTGGGTAATACGACCAAGTTCGGTCCCCGGTCTATGGGTTGCTTCTTCATGACCTTGGGAAAGAATTTAACATCCCTAGATGCTTGTTCTTCCATCTGTATTAGAGCCAAAACCTACAGTAATTACCAACATATAAAAATGCATGTTTAGGCATATTCAGACAACTTTATAAATGCATAGCTTTGAGAAAAGCTGCTATAAAACCACATGGATTTATGAATTTGATATGCTATATCAAATAAGTCATGCCTTTGACCCTGTTTCCTTGATCCAGGGGTGCCCTTCTCCTCTCTCGCTTTTCCATTTTGCCTATCATCCCCAGACCTCCGAAGCCCATAAGGGCACCTCACCATGGAGTCCTCCATGAAGGCTTTCCTTATTCTCTCATCCCCCTACCCAGTTCAAACCTGAGCTTGTCTCCCCCTCAGGGTCCTTGCCAGCCTCTCCGGTGCACCAATGTTATTCATGCATTTGCCCTATCTACTCTTCGGGTAAGGTTCTTGAGGGCAGGACTCTTCCTTACTCTATTCATCTTTGAGGCCCCTTTCAGATGCCTAACATAAGGGTGTGCTCTTCTTGGGAATGCAATTAATAATAGCAATTGGCTATATGGAGATTGCTAGGATCCAGGTGCTGTTTTAAAGCCTTTCCATGAACCTACTCATGTGATCCCACAACAACCCTATGATGAGGAAACTAGGGCATGAGGTCATCAAATAACATGGTCAAGGTCACACAGTTAGGAAGTGATAAAGCTGGAATCTGAACTTAGCATTTGGGCTCCCTAGCCTGCATCATGAACGACTAGACCACTCTGGCTCCCGACTGTGTGCGTGATGAACTGAATCAGACAGGACTTTGGAGTCTTCAAACCATCCTCAGTCATTGTTTCATTGGATCCTCACAGTAAACTTGTGAGATGGGCAGGGGAGCCTTATCCTCATTTTAAAAATGAAGAAGCTGAGTCACCTCAGGGGTCACCAAGCTAGTAACCGATGAAAGCCAAACCAGAACTCATGTCTTTGATTCTGTTTTTCCTGTGTTCTTTCCCTTATACCTCAAATTGTTAATAAGAGTCTAGTCATGCAAACTAAGCCAATAATCCAGGTAGTCTCATAAAATCACTATTTAGAAAATATCCTTAAACCTCATAAAATTAAAGACACATAAAAGCAAAGAGAAAACAGTTTGGCTAAGTAAAAAAAAAAAAAAAAAAAAGGGCAAGTAGAAATAGGTAGGCATGCATCTCTACCAAATGTTATCAAACTGGATTCGATGCAACATTAACACAAATCCAATGTTTGAAAATTTCTCCTAGACAAGCAAATAAATAGACATAAGAAAAATTTCAAAACCATGATGTGGTCTGCTGTAAGAAATGCTGCCACAGAAATCAGGAGCTCTACTAGCTCCAGTGGGTCTATAAATACCATCTAATTACATAAGGAATGCAAAGTGATTAAACTTTGATAAAGATGTTCTGAATTCTTGTAAAGCATCCTTTTTTTTTTTTTCCCTAAACAGCATGATTTGGAGCACCTCACAACGCCCTCTAAGAAAAATAAGTCATCCATTATGATAAATTTCATTTACTCTTCTCTAAAACACTTGGTGTATTTCGCGAACACGCACCTTTGGCTATAAGAACCGCTGGAGGCAGGAAAGAATAAAAGATTGGAGGAGTTCAGCTGGAAAGAGGTAAAAGGTAAAGCATGATTCAAAGTGCATACATGACATAAGGCAAAGAGACAGAGTCAAGCATATAAGAAACTAGAGAAAAGGCAAGGATTGGTAGCCCCCGCTAAATCACAGGGTGTGGTCTGCCGGGGGTCATTTTTGCTGTAAACTCTGAGCGAGATCAGAGGGGAAAATAGGAAAGAGTGAGAATGTCTGAGTTTGGGTCCCAGCTCACCGCTGTGATCGCAAGTCCGGGGTATTGCTGCTCTTCATTTCTTCACTGGTAAACAACAGGTGGTAAAAAGATGAGCATAAGAGCAGTGACCGCAACTGGCCGGGGTAGAACAAAAGCTATCCGTACTGACACAGATCAGATGGGAAAGTGGTAAGACCTGTATTTAAGAATCTTAGTGAGATGATATGAGGAATTCTTAATCGCAGGAAACAAACTGAGTGTTGTTGGAGTGGGGGGTGGGGTGGGAGGGATGGGGTGGCTGGGTGATAAACACTGGGGAGGGTATGTGCTCTGGTAAGCGCTGTGAATTGTGCAAGACTGTTGAATCTCAGATCTGTACCTCTGAAACAAACAATGCAACATATGTTAAGGAAAAAAAAAGAAGAAGAAGAAGGTAGCGGGAGGGGAAGAATGAAGCGGGGGAAACCGGAGGGGGAGATGAACCATGAGAGACGATGGACTCTGAAAAACAAACAGGGTTCTAGAGGGGAGAGGGGTGGGAGGATGGGTTAGCCTGGTGGTGGGTATTGAGGAGGGCACGTTCTGCATGGAGCACTGGGTGTTATGCACAAACAATGAATCATGGAACACTTCATCTAAAACTAATGATGTAATGTATGGGGACTAACATAAGAATAAAAAAAAATTTTAAAAAAAAGAATCTTAGTGAGAGAAAAGGGAAAGGAGAAGAGAGACGAGAGAAGCAGAAAGAAGGGAAGTAGAGGGAGAATCGGTGAGGAAGGGGGGTAAGAAATCACAAATAACAAAACAATGGATATTCGTTGGTTTGGAATCATTCATTCCAAGTGTAACTCCAGCAGACAGCAGCCCCGTCATCACCTGTGACGTGAACTCCGAAGGGTCCTTCCATTCCCCTGGCGTCTGGCCCAGCGGACGCCCCCTTCTCCGCTCAGAGCCACCTGGGTACCCACCTTGGACGGAAAGGAAAGCAGAGGCATCCCGGTCACTGTTCTGGAGGCTGCACTTAATACGCCCGGCATCCTGGAGCTGCACGTCATGGATTATCATCTCAGAGATGGAGTTGCTGCCCTCTTCATAACTGGCAGAGGTAAAGCGGTCGTTGGTGATGATGGGCTCCGTGGGTGTGATGCTCAGCACCACCGTGTCATTCAGAGCCCACATGATGAGCCTCCAGCCCTGCGAGATGGTGCAGTTGAAGCGAGCCTCTGTGCCCTCCAGCACCGTTGCGTTCTTGGGACCTTCTATGATTTGATAGCTGGATCCAGAAGCTGGAAGGCAACCAGTTTTTCAAGGCAGCAAGTGAATGGATCTATGCAAGTCAACTGTAAGGCTTAACCCTCTGTATTTACCAGCTGGATAGCCAGTGGTCAGACTCCATGTCTTCCTGGTTCCAACACCATATCTCCCCACTGGACAGGAAGCCACCCATCCCTCCTTTCCAATCCCTCCCTCCACAGTTCTCAGTACTCCCGGCAAAACTGGAAGAAAAAAATGCCATTCCTCCACCTCCAGAGAGATGTTACCTCAAAGACCTGATCCCAGCCTGGCCCCAAGAGCATCCCCCTAGCCCAGCTGTTATTTAAGGCAAGTTTTTCACCTTTACTATGAAATGAGAGTTATCCTCCCAGGAAAATGGGAAGGATCTTTGATTCCCACCTCTGAGGAAATCCCAAGGCTCAGAGAGGAAGGTGGAGAGCAGCTTCTCTTCACAAAGAGAATGCGGGCCCCAGCATGTGGTGATCACAGCCCCACGCATGCCCCTGCATCCTTAGAGCCCCCAAATGGGATGCTCAGGACAGTGTCTGGGGCTGGAGGAACAAGGTTGACAGAGAAGGAATCCAGCTGGAGAGAGACAACAGTTGCATCCTGAGTACACTCTCCTGGAGTGATAGGTATCAAGTCAATATCAAGAGAACCATACTGTCTGTCACTGAGGCCACACCTCTCCTCTTAAGGACCAGAAGAGACATGAGTGGGGAGATACAAAGAGAGGAAAAGGAAAGGTAGAAGGATGTAGGGGAGTGGGCTCTCTTAATGAGAACAACCAAGTGATGAGTCTGGCAGCCTGGTACAAGTCTCACCACACCGAGTGCTGGGTTTAAAACCCCATCAGACAGGCAGGTGGCCCAGAGGGAAGCTGGACCAGGGGGAGAGGCAGCCAGGGTCAAGGTCAAGGAGGGGGTCCTGCGGGGTCCAAAGAGGCAGAACTGAGGGAACGTCAGAATTAACTAAGACTGTTCCTGTGTTTGGGCAAACATGATGGCTCTTCTTCTTTTGTCTCTGGGCATGATAAGAAAAGAGAGACAGTGAGACTCTAAAGAACTGCTCCTGCTGGGTATCCTCCCTTATCCCTGGATAAGTCTCTCTGATCCAAAGATCCCTTTGATCTGGGATTTTAGAAAGAGAAAAAAAGCCTGGGGAGGGAAGTCAGAAACAATACCCCAGGGAAGCCAGAGCACTGTGCCAACTTGGCTCTTTCCATGAGCCCTGAATTGCATCTTTAAAAGAAGGACAAAAGAAAACAAAGAGCCAAATATGCACTTCGAGGAAAGAGATGAGCTCTCCCCACCCCACCGTGTGACGACCGCACTCTTCCCCGGCTCCTGATGCAGGTCAGTGAGAGCTAAGTGGCCAGAACCCAGCAGCTCGGATGTGGGTAATGCCAGGATGGCTGAGACCCAGGCTTCCCTGACAGGAGCTCATCTAAGCAGCTCCCGTAGAATACGCAAGCCCCTCGGAAACCATGGCTCCCTCACTGCCTGGTCTGAGGTAGAGAGATTATCTCACTCTGAGTTTGTTCAAGCCAGCAGACTGCAACATGTGACCATGACGACATGCAGGCCACATACCTTACTTTACAGGTGGGAGGTGAGGGGGAGGGAGGCCAAATGGAAACTCCTCGAGTTTGAGCCTGACCTCTAAATTAAACAGGATGCACCCAGTCCCAAGCACTACATTCCCCGGACAGCATCACCTGCAGTCTTGGCTTCCCACCATGAGTAAACACGCCGTCAGCCCTGCCTCGTGACTCAGAAGCCTGATATTCTGATAATGTGAGGTCCTGGAGCCTCCTTCCTCTCCCTGAATCCTATCAGCTATGGTGTGTGTAACCCTGCCCTGCACAGAACAAATATGAGAAAATTGTAAATAAGACCTTTCATCACACACAAAACCTCCCTTTCCCTCTGCTCCCCTTTTCACTCTGTAGAGCAAACAGGCAAATTGGGGCAGAGCCAAGGGAAAGCTCAGTGTCCCCCTCCCAGACACTACCCCGGCCGCTAGCCATGGTGACCGCCCAGCTCAGGAGTTGATCCACCTGCAAGATCCTTATTCACTAACTCACACTGTAATTTCCACATCAGCATCTGCAACCCCGCCCTCTTGCTTCCTCCCCTGCCCAGGATCCTACTCCACCTGGCATCTCTATGAACGACAGGCTCCAGCCTGGACCGAAAAGCATCTCTTCTACTCACTGCATCCTCCCGTCTGTGAAATGGGAATCACTCCAACCCTAGCCCCTCTGCCTGCTTCCGTGCCTCCCGCCGGCCCTGCATCAGTTGATCCCAAACACGGATCCTACCATCCTCCTTCGAAGGCTCTCTCTCGGCTCCCTGGAGGAGTAGCCTGCTGTCTCCCCTGCTGCGGGTTAGACCCCTCCATTCTTCTGCTCTCTCCAGCAGGCTCCTCACTGCACCTGCGGGCCCCCCACCTTCCCCCTTCTCTTACTCAGCACTGGAAAGGAACAGAAAAGCAGACAATTAAAAGCAGAAGGGAGAAAGGGAAATGCAGTGGATTTGGCGGCAGAGAAATGGTTTGGCGTGGCAGGTCCGAGGAAGAAAATGGGAGTCCGAACACATCAGGGGTTGGGCCCGTCAGAAGGAAACTGAGAAGCGAGGGAGGGGTCCTGAGGTGCCTGCAGAGTCCCGCTGACGATGGCAGGAGGCACCAGCGTCACTGTTGGGCCACCAGCACCCAGAACTGCTATCCACATGGCAGCCAGCCAGCGGGATCTTCTCAGCAAACCAGGGTGATCAGGTACCCCTCCCCTACCTCCCATCTCCATACTCAGACTTTAAGTATTTTAAACACAACCGTCCTAGAGAAAGACAAGATAACCCTTAACGTTATCATATCTTAAGACCCTACTTAGTCTCACTGGGGAGGGTGTGTACTCTGGTAAGCGCTGTGAATTGTGCAAGACTGTTGAATCTCAGATCTGTACCTATGAAACAAATAATGCAATATATCTTAAGAAAAAAAAAAAGAAGAAGAAGAAGAAGGTAGCGGGAGGGGAAGAATGAAGCGGGGGAAATCGGAGGGGTAGACGAACCATGAGAGACGATAGACTCTGAAAAACAAACTGAGGGTTCTAGAGGGGAGGGGGGGTGGGAGGATGGGTTAGCCTGGTGGTGGGTATTGAGGAGGGCATATTCTGCATGGAGCACTGGGTGTTGTGCACAAACAATGAATCATGGAACACTTCATCTAAAACTAATGATGTAATGTATGGGGATTAACATAAGAATAAAATTTAAAAAGAAAAAAGAAAACAACTGACCAGGCATGCAAATGCTGGGACACTGTGTACAAAAAAAAAAAAAAAAAAAAAGACCCTACTTAGTCTGACATTAACTTCCTTCTGCCCCAAACTCCACCCTCCAGCCACCAGACTATCTAAATTCATCAAACTCATCGACTCTTTCTGGCCCCAGGGCATTTGCACAGGCAGCGATCAGCCTGGCATACCAGTCTTGCTTATACCTCAGCTCCCAGCCTAGTTGTCTCCTCCCCAGGGAAGCCTTCCCAGAGTATTAGGTTGAATTATCCTATAACAGGCTTTCAATCATCGAAGCAATTGTCACAATGGTAATTTTATGTTGATTTTTCAAATAATGCCTGATTCTCCTGCTAGGCTGTAAGCTTTGTTAGCAGGGACTGTGCCTGGTTTTGCTCATCACCGTATCCCGGTGCCTGCAACTAAAGGGCACATAACAGGCCCCCAGTGAATACTCACTGAGCAAATAAATAAGGGTGTTGAGTTCTAAATAATCCATTACACTGGGGCAAAGCAGAGAGGAGAGCCGGCAAGAACCTTTGGGTGCACATGGAGGCTGAGCTCAGCTATTCAAAGCCAAGTCTATAAATGAAGGTGTCTCTACTCCAAGACTTTCCAAGATGAAACATCCAAGGGTCTCAGGCTTTTGCGATGGACCCCATCACCCAGGGGGCATTAGAATTAGCCCAAAACACTCTCCCCTCCTGGAACAGCCAACTCCGGGCCTCAGCCAGAGCCATCCCTTTGTTCAAAACAGAGCTTCGGGGAAAATTGCCTCGGAAAAACGGTAGACCCCACGGCACATCAGTTTCCCGCTGAGCTGCTAGAAGAGATCTTTGCCTCTCAAAGTGGCTGAAATAGCCACTTTGGAGCCTTGTCCCTAAAATGTGTGCTGAGTGTGGTTTGCTAGCCCGAGACAAGTCCTTAAGCTCCACACAAGCAGGGACGGTGTTTCGCTCTCCACTCTACATTTGTTTTGTTTTGTTTTGTTTTTTAGATTTTATTTATTTATTTATTTGAGAGAGAGAGAAACAGCATGAGAGGGAGGAGGGTCAGAGGGAGAAGCAGGCTCCCCGCCGAGCCGGGAGCCCGATGCGGGACTCGATCCCGGGACTCCAGGATCATGACCTGGGCCGAAGGCAGTCGCTTAACCAACTGAGCCATCCAGGTGCCCCCACTCTACATTTGTTATGCACTCTGGATAACAAATGTTTATCCAGCACCTACTAAACACCTGGCACTGCGCACTATAAGCCAGGAGTTTCCAAACATCGCGGCGCCCAAATACATGTTAACACCACAGCCTGGTCCCCTGAGCTTAATATCTCCACACACCCCAACCAAAATTCACAAAACATTCCCTACTGCCCATAACACACTCTGATAGTCCCTATACTATTTTATGCCTTTTCTGATTCTCAATAAATATTGAATATTGGGGGAGGGGATATCAGAGTGACCGAAAGGGGGCATTCGTGGGAGGTGCTTGGTCTCACTACTGATACACAAAGGTGTTCAGTTTGTGAAACTTCATCAAGCTGTACCTCTATGACTTGTACATGTTTCTCTATGTTCATTATACTTCGATACAACGCCTTTTAAAATCACTGCATAAGGAATACAGGATGGATACCCTCTGGAGTTTACAACCTAGTTGGAAAGATAAGACAAACACACCTGAAGCAAAGAAATCTAGACAAGACCTAATCAAGAGAAAGCTGGGGGAACGAATATCAGTCACCCAAAGGACCCCACAGTCTGCTCACTCCATCTCCTGCAAAGCGGAGTCTGATCAGGAGACCCTGGCCTGGGACACCCTGGAGTCCATTCCGACTGACACCCTGGGGGAGATCCAGGATGAGGAGAACCTGATGAGAGGAATGGCAGGTCTCACAGGCAGTGGGCCCCTGCCTGTCAATAAATGGGAGCTGGGATTATCACCGTGAACACTGCCAGGTCAGGAGGGCTCTAAGGAGGAGGTGATGCCTGAATGGGGCCTTCCTTGAAGGCCAGTTATAAACAGAAGAAGAGAAAACCAGGCAAAGGATGGGACATCTTAACAAGAGCAATGAGTTCTGGGCAGGTACGGAAGGCAAACGCCCACACCAGGGACAACCCACTGAACAGGACTGGTGGCCCATGGAGGACCACTCCCGCAGCTCAGTCGGCAGAGCAGGAAATGGGCCCAACCAAAGAGACCC